TTAGAGGTGAGTAGTTGTCCCCTCTAATTCTAGAACATTTAGTTATAATCTATGTCGTTATATTCATAGCAATATCGTACGCAACCTACGTAGAATCTTTGCATGTTCGTAGGTTAGCCATCAAAACGTTCACTACGTAAAACTTATTAATATTGGCCTTGGAATCACTAGGAATATATTCATCAATGTTTGTAGTATTGTTCTAAAAAGAATCAAGGTGTTAAGGTTGTAAAATGGATCAAAACGTAGCCAAGGACAGAAGACTGTCACTGGGACGGTCGACCGTTAATTCAAACGGTGGACCGTACCCTCGGCCAGTCCAACGGTCACCGCCGGGACGGTCGACCGTCATCCATGAAGGAAGACCACGGTGGACCGTCTGAGACCCAGACCCCAGACCATAGCCCACGGTCGACCGCCGGTAGGGTACGGTCGACCGTTCCGCAGGTAGAATTTCGGGCAGTTTGTAGAACGAGCCCCATTTGACCAGTTTGACTCAGAATCTGATTGTGTGTTTGCATGAAATGTTAATCTTCATTATGTGTGTTATTTAATTGATATATTCTTGGTGTTGACCAAAGGTAAATACATCAAGCATTCATCATGTTCATTCTAGACGCATGTACTAGGATCATCATCATGTGCATACCGCTGTAGGGAGGTCAGGCTTTCGTGCGCCTACTACAGTGGGCCCGTCCAGGAACGTTTGGGATCCAACGAGTTTTCATCAGGTGGGCTTTGTGTACGTACATGGTAGTCAGGCTACGGCTACCACCCGGTTTTTTCTAGTTCACTTGCAACGTTTTGTCGAGCCCGGGTCATTACCGGAGTGCAGGGGTGATCCTGTCAAGTGAGACTAAGTCATGGGTGTCCCTAATAGCTTAAGTCATGCATCGAGTCATATTGTCATCATGTATGTTTCATGTCACGTCAACATTCAATGTGGTCGTCATCATCATGTATGTTCCACGTCACATCAACATTCAATGTGGTTGTTATTCATTTTGTTATGTGTAATAATATCCCATCAAGTGCAAATTAATCAGTTAGTAAACATGTGGTTTTTCGTACGTTAAGTACATGTATTAATATGTGTATAGCCATATGGGTTATCACTTTATGTTCTTTTGTTAGATTCACTCCTCAGCTTATGCTGAGCGTGTAGTTGTTTTTGCTACACGCAGGTAGACATGACGGTGCGGGTGCTAACCCTGGAGGACAGTGATGGTGGGAAGATGGGCGGTGTATGGACAAGTTCAATAATTAAATACATTTAATTAATTAATCATTTGGGCATGAACCCACCATTTGTCATTTTTACTTATTATTTACTTCCGCTTTTACTCTGCATTTATATCACTCACGTTTTGGATATAACTCCTAGCATTTATTACACCAATTAAACATAAACGTTTTCATAATAAATAGTCATTAATATCCCATCAATTAAACGTAACCGTTTTCTTATTAAATAATCATTAACGTTTTTGTAACGGACGGTTCTCGAACTGTTCATGTAACCTTACCGGTCCGTCGGGTCGCGGGTGAACCAGGTCCGCGGAAGGTGGGTGTTACAATTTGGTATCAGAGCCAGGTTCGGTTTTGTGAAGAAAAAAACAAAAAAAAACATATTTTGTCAACCTGGTCAAAGGGTATTTTCAAAAAGTCCACAGCCGCATCTCCCATCACATCGCTCCCAGGGAAAGGTACACCGTTGTTTTATTCACATGTATGTCATATTGTAATTAGTTACGATTCAAGCTTCTCATATAGGATGAGCCAAGCAGTAGGCAACGACGGACAGGCTGTCCCACAGGGGAAGCCTGAGCACGTGAGCACACAACGAAGCGTCATACTAATTGCGTATACGCTCACCTGTTCCCATTTTGATACTCTACGATTGTTAGATGAGTACCATCAGTACCGAAAGCGTGTCAAGCGTTGACTCCAGTCGAACCTTCGTGCTTGGTAAGAGACGAAAGAACAAGAGGCAAAGTTACGATTCAAAAGAACGCTACCAACGTGCACACCGCAAGGCTCAGATAGCAAAGATAAGAATCTGGAAGCGCCGGAAGGCACCATGGGAAAGAGATGACCCAGAGGAAACGTTCAGCGTGGACTCTGCTAATAGTATCTGCGGCGCAGGTGGGGATAATCCTCCAGTGGACTCAGCCCGACTAGTCGAGTGGGAGTGGGTTGCCTGCTAACTGATGACATAGTCTAAGCTGTAATCAATGCAACATTTCGTCCCACTTATCTAAACCAAATATGTTCCTTGAATGAAATTCGTCAATTGGTCTTTAATCCATTATGCCCACGTATGCTTCACAAAACAAAGTTTTGGGTAACGCACTATCTCCCTAAACGCATGAGGGGCGACTTAGAGAGAATTTCGGGGACGAACTTCCTTTAAGGAGGGGATAATTGTAACGCCCTCAAATCGGCCTAGTTTTAAATAAATAAATATTATTTATTTATTGAGACTCATTATTTTAAATTAATAAATGTTGAGATTTCGATCTCATTAAATGGCATTCCAAAGCTAATGTACTTTAATTGTAAAAGATGTTTTAATAACGGACCCCTCAACATTAATTAAATAAATTAATTAATGATTGGGGTGGATCCGGAATTTTGGAAATAAAGTTCTTAGAAAAATTATTTGAACATGTCATTAAATTCGTTTTGACTCTCTGATTCCGGAAACACAAACGGATCTCAATTCGAACCCGTTCAGGGGAAAAACCGCGTACTGTTCAGGTCAGATTTTTACATAACGGAGTAAATGAATATTTGTAACTCCCCATTTAATCATTCCTCACGCCACACCCTTTAATTTTTCCATAACTCCCCATTCCTCTCCCCACATTCATTCATCATCATTATTCTTCATTACTCCATTTTAATATAAACCCCCACTCTTCCCATTCACATCATTTTTCCATTTTGTAACCCCCATAGTTAATTCATCATCATCATCATCATTCATCTTCCCCCTCCACCTGTTCGGCCAAGGTAGGAAGCAGACCCGGGGGGATTCCGGCGAGTAGACAGGAGGTGGAAGAGAAGGAAAGTCACGCAGGAGGTTGTCTGTTCGTCCGTTCGTTAGACGTCATTCATTCATCTCGTTTCATTGTTCCGTCAACCCTTTCATTAGAGGTGAGTAGTTGTCCCCTCTAATTCTAGAACATTTAGTTATAATCTATGTCGTTATATTCATAGCAATATCGTACGCAAGCTACGTAGAATCTTTGCATGTTCGTAGGTTAGCCATCAAAACGTTCACTACGTGAAACTTATAAATATTGGCCTAGGAATCACTAGGAATATATTCATCAATGTTTGTAGTATTGTTCTAAAAAGAATCAAGGTGTTAAGGTTGCAAAATGGATCAAAACATAGCCAAGGATTGAAGACTGTCACCGGGACGGTCGACCGTTACTTCAGACGGTGGACCGTACCCTCGGCCAGTCCAACGGTCACCGCTGGGACGGTCGACCGTCATCCATGACGGAAGACCACGGTGGACCGTTTGAGACCCAGACCCCAGACCATAGCCCACGGTCGACCGCCGGTAGGGTACGGTCGACCGTTCCGCAGGCAGAATTTCGGGCAGTTTGTAGAACGAGCCCCATTTGACCAGTTTGACTCAGAATCTGATTGTGTGTTTGCATGAAATGTTAATATTCATTATGTGTGTTATTTAATTGATATATTCTTGGCGTTGACCAAAGGTAAATACATCAAGCATTCATCATGTTCATTCTAGACGCATGTACTAGAATCATCATCATGTGCATACCGCTGTAGGGAGGTCAGGCTTTCGTGCGCCTACTACAGTGGGCCCGTCCAGGAACCTTTGGGATCCAACGAGTTTTCATCAGGCGGGCTTTGTGTACGTACATGGTAGTCAGGCTACGGCTACCACCCGGTTTTTGCTAGTTCACTTGCGACGTTTTGTCGAGCCTGGGTCATTACCGGAATGCAGGGGTGATCCTGTCAAGTGAGACTAAGTCAGGGGTGTCTCTAATAGCTTAAGTCATGCATCAAGTCATATTGTCATCATGTATGTTCCACGTCACATCAACATTCAATGTGGTTGTTATTCATTTTGTTATGTGTAATAATATCCCATCAAGTGCAAATTAATCAGTTAGTAAACATGTGGTTTTTCGTACGTTAAGTACAGGTATTAATATGTGTATAGCCATATGGGTTATCACTTTATGTTCTTTTGTTAGATTCACTCCTCAGCTTATGCTGAGCGTGTAGTTGTTTTTGCTACACGCAGGTAGACATGACGGTGCGGGTGCTAACCCTGGAAGACAGTGATGGTGGGAAGATGGGCGGCGTATGGACAAGTTCAATAATTAAATATATTTAATTAATTAATCATTTGGGCATGAACCCACCATTTGTCGTTTTTACTTATTATTTACTTCCGCTTTTACTCTGCATTTATATCACTCACGTTTTGGATATAACTCCTAGCATTTATTACACCAATTAAACATAAACGTTTTCATAATAAATAGTCATTAATATCCCATCAATTAAACGTAACCATTTTCTTATTAATCATTAACGTTTTTGTAACGGACGGTTCTCGATCTGTTCATGTAACCCTACCGGTCCGTCGGGTCGTGGGTGAACCGGGTCCGCGGAAGGCGGGTGTTACAGGGCTACTTCTGAGAATCCCATATTCTTAAGAATGTTGTTGATGAAGTCCCATTCAAGATAGTCAAAAGCTTTGGCCATATCCAGTTTGATGATCATGTTCCCACATCTGGTATTTGAGTCTAACTTGTGGACCATTTCTTCAGTCAAAAGTATTTGTTCATCCACCCCCTTTCCTTTTTGAAAAGCTGTCTGTTCTTTGGAGATAACCTTAGGAAGTAGAGATTGAAGTCTATTAGCAAGGACTTTTGTATTAATCTTACTCATAAAGGTTGACAGAGAGATAGGTCTGAAATCTCCAAAATTTTTTGGGTTTGCCAACTTAGGAATAACAGTAATAAATGTACTTCCATAGCTCTTAGGGATGGGGACACCAATGAAGAATTCCTGGCATGCACTGACAACATCCTTTTTGATAATATTCCAACATGCTCTAAAGAAATGGCCATTGAACCCATCAGGTCCAGGTGCACTATCAGGATTAATGCTCCAAACTGCTTCTTTAATCTCTTCTTCTGTTGGAATTTTGGTGAGATGAGTGTTATCCTCTTCTGTAATGGTTTTTTCAAAGTATTTCTGGATTAGATTGACATTGATTGTTTTACTTGTGCAGAAGAGTTTTGTAAAGTGGATCTCAGCCAACTGTTTGATGTCCTCCCTTTTTGTCAATAGGTTGCCTTCTTGATCTTCAATACCTCTAATTCTGGATTTGGCTCTTTTACCTTTAACAAAGGAGTGGAAAAATTTTGTGTTGCAGTCCCCATTATCCATCCATCTAATGTTTGCCTTTTGTTGCCAAAATTGTAGTTCATTATTGGTAGTAAGAATGAGTTCAGCTCTAGCTTTATGATCTGCCTCCCTGTTAGAATCGGAAGGGTGTAGTTCATAAGAAGCTTGAGCCAAAGTTGCCTTGAGTTCTGCTTCTTTGAGATTGGCAAGAACATCACCAAATTCTCTCCTCACTTATTGGCATTCTTTTGTATTGACTACACGGATGACCGAGTCGTAATGATGCCTTGGCCGGATGGGTCCCGGTGCTTCTTCCTTCTTGATCTGCACCAGCTTGGGCTTGAATCTGTGTTCAGCCTCTTTTTTTGCTCGTAGATGGGTTTCAGCTTTCGCAAACTCCCAAGCCGTGTGGTAGGCTTCTTGGTATGTGACCGGTGGCATACGAAAGAACTCTTTGTATAGTTCCCCTGCACGCAAGCCATTCAACAAGAGGGACAAGACTATCTTGTCATCCATTTCCTCCACCTTGTCCAACTCCTCTGTCCATCGGGTAAGGGATTGAGTTAGATTCTCTGATTCCCTTTGGCCGGGTGTACTGAGATAGGTTAACTTCTTCCTCTTGGTACAATTCTCCTGGAACTTGGCCTTGAATTTCGAGGACAAGTCGTTGACTGAATCAATGCTCCCTGGGCGAAGCTTATTGAACCATTCAGTAGCTCGGTTCCGCAAGGTTTGAAAGAAAAAAAAGGCACTTTTCTTCGTTTGTGCACCCATTCATGGTTGCACTTTGATTGAAGGAGTCCAGGTGAATTTCTGGATCTTCCTTCCCAGTAAGGGCGTCTATCTTGACCTTTTGTGGGAAGGGTGTCAGATGGACCCTTGAAGTGAACGGGGACCCGGCAAGGGGTTTATCCCGGTCGTTCTTCTCCCCCACTTTGTTCTCCAGCCTCTCCAATTTGGCTTCCATCTGCTGGACGCGATCACTCGACATGGTTAGCCGATTAACCACCGGTCCGCGGGGTTGACTCTCTGCTTCTTCTTCTTGGCGAGAGGCCCTTGCTCTTGCTGGTTCGACCGGGAGCGCTGGGTACGGGCAAGCTCAGCCTCCCTCCCCTTTCCCAACCGGGCGAAAGCGCTAACATGGGCAACGCTCTGCCCCAATCTCAGCTTGGCCGACTTCCTCTGACCTTCTTCCTTATTCCCAAGCCTTTCAAAGGCGGAGTTCAAGAAGTTGTTGGCCGGATGGTTTTTCCTTTCTTCTTTTTGTGGGTCCTGGGAATGTCCCACTCATCGTCACTTCTCTCAACTGAAATGCAATGACCATCAGGAGTAATCTAGGGATTTGTACCCTGCGGAGGACGTGACGGCCCAACGGCGTTAAGCACACTGGTCAAGTTGACAGGGCCACCGTAGCTGCGACTGCAAAGGTGACGGATGTGGTACCGTCATTGGAGTTTGCAGGGGCATTGTTCCAGCGCCAGGAAGGGCGAATGGAAACATTCCATGGAGGAATGGCATTCCCCCGTTCTGCTTGCACATGGCCATGACCTGGCCAAAGCCTTGGATGGCTTGTAGGTTGGCCGGGTCATTCATGAACTGGGTCATGCTTGGTGGGAATGTGACCCTTGGACCAGCAGAAGGGATTGGAACCGTGAATGGCGTCGCCATGCTTGGTGTGGGGATGTGAGTTAATCCTAACGACATCACAGAGGCAGAGTTTGCTGGTTGGGTAACAACCATGGGGATGTTGACTCCCTCAGTGGTAGCTTACACCTGAGCAGAGATAGCGTTGATTTGCTGGCTTGAAGACATTTTGAGTGGTGTTTTTGTTGGTAGGTTTGTGTTTTGATGAGAAGAAACCTTAACGATCCCAGAGTCGGCGCCAAAAATGATGGTGTAAATTACCTAACCAGGTAAACTATACTAGACCGGTCTAGTATTGTTTACTTGATTCGAAAAGTGAAAAGGTAAAAACATACAAATGACCGGGAAGACTGTAGGTGGTAACACATGTAGCCCAATATTTATTTGGTTAATTATTTGGTCATCTCCTTTGACCGGTTTTGGGTGGAATTCTCCCATCAATATTTATCTACAAATAATGTAATGTTCATTCTGAAACAAAATAGTACCTATTCTCAAATAACTTAGTGTTTATTCTCATGTAAAATTAAATACATGCATACCATAAATATTTTCTGTTTCTCTTACGCCACCCGACCAGACGGATGCGGAGCACCTCTCCTTCCATGCAACAGCTTTCTTCCTCGATCGACCTCTCCTTTCTCTCCTACGCGACGCGACCCGATTAGGAGCACCTCTCCTTTTTCCTCCGATTGACGCAGCTCTTCTTTTTTCGACTTATTGGATGTATCCAATTTTGGATACAACCGGATATATAATATAATTTGCGGAGTTTCACTAATCCTTCCACCTTTTTTATAAATTAAACAAGTTTATGGTTGTTTCTTTTCAGCGACAATGAAGCAAATTTTACTCATTTATTGAGATTTATTTTTCTTAATTTGTAGTCTCTCCATCTCCAAATTGTATTCTCGTTTCGGATTATGATGTTTGATCGAATTATTTACTATTCGATTTTTATAAATAATGTTACAAAAGTAAAATTATATTTTATATACGAGTATTTAATAGCATTTAGATAGTTCTAGAAAACTAGTGCAAAATTATTTTATTTAATCAAATGATAATTTATCATCATAAGAAATGAGTAAATTATTTAAAGACAGATTAAACATATAATTTTATTTTGCAATTAAAATTAAATAGTTTCTGGTGGTGTAAAGTACTCCCTCCGTTCCATAAAGTGTTACCCATTTTGACTAAAGTTGAAATTAAGGGAGGGATAATTTTGTGTTGACTTTCCAAAAATACCCTTGATGTGATGGGTAAAAGTAAGATGTGATGTGTAGATTATTAGGAAAAAGGTATGATGTGATAGGTAGGGCTTGAAAAAGTAAGGGGTAAAAGTGGTTTTTTAATAGAAATGGGTAAGGGATTGTGGGACGTAATTTTTTTGAAACATGTAAATCTTTTTGGGACGGAGGGAGTAATTTATTAGGCTCACACAAGTGACCGTGAAGGCATTATACCTGTAGCATAATTGTTACTCCCTCTGTCCATAAATAGATTACAATTGTTTTTTCTCTTTCCTTCCGATAACATTTGTTTTTTTACGTGATTTCATAAAGTATTTGATAAAATAAAATTTTTTTTTGTCACCTCTTGTTTTGTAGAACTTTTGACGTAGTTTTTTAATATATAATTTTTTTATCTTATTGATATACCAATTTTAAAATAAAATGATTTCAAAAAGTAGAAAATATTACTCTGTAACCGTAATTTATAATCAAATTGGGGAGGGAGGGAGTATTATAAGGGGGACGGGGGATTGGGAGCCATGGGAGGTGCATACAAGGCGTGATAAATTATTTTTCACAGATTTAAGAGCCGTGAGCCCGTGACAAACATTGTGACACAATTGTCATGTCATACGCCATGACACAATAATAGAGGCATTTTCAGAAATCTTAATAATCATGAATTAATTTTAATGGACAGATACACGGAAATGACGGAATACAAGAATCCAGGGAATGCTAATGGAATTAAATTATAAAGTCAATCAAGATACATATAGAAGTAATGGGTCAAAGACCGATACTCCAAGCACGCTTACACAAATTTGAATGTAAAAAAGGCATTTCTTTAAAACAACATTTTAACAGTTTTAAAACATTTTTTAAAGAGAGCTCACATATATCATAAATCTGAATGTACGGTATTTCCCCTACATCAGCATCAATACTCATTGTCTATTAACTAAGTACTCATTTTCGAATAAGAGAACATTGAATTTTGAGTAATTGAATGCTCTATTTTGGGCATAACTAAATTTTAGAGAAATGAGTACTCAGCTACTCAAAAATGAATATTCACTTGCTTGAAAATGAACATTTACTTACTCATAAATGAGCTTTCACAGAGGATGTATAGGAAATACCGTACAACGGGTTGTACAGTATATATTGCGGCACTTGTTAGCCTCTTTGTACAAGCTATCTGCTCATCCCTCCTTGGGGGATCGGAGCCATGACAATTCCATTGTTTTGTTTTTCCACGTTTCCATGCCACCCTTAACGAAAAGAACAAAAAAAAAAGTCAGCATTTAAAAGATTACAGAATGCTTCATACCAAATTAAAAGAATTGAATTAATTACCAATGGACATGTCAAAACCACGGATTTTGAGCTCACGGTGTTCCTGGCAGAGCGCGCACGACTCGCAGAAGCAATGGAGCAAACAATCCCCGCAGGGGCTATCCCTCAACATGTACTGCTCCCGCATCTTCTTCCTGAAGAAGCAACTATACAAGCACGGACACCCCGTCACGCATGCCATTAGTGTGTAAAGCGCCCCATTCACTCCACAAGCTGCATCCGATTAGCCGCTAGCACATTATTATTCATGATCGACTACTTAATTAGCTTGCACACACACACACACACACACATATATATATATTATTAGATGGAAGACTTACAACTAGAGCCCTTATCCACAATCTCCGCAATTCGTCCGAACGTGACACATGGACACCAGAAAGTCAGGCAACCTGATGTATCCATGGATATGAACCATGGTTTAAAAAACCCACATATTAATTCACCATATTGTGATTAATTACAACACTTATTACATGTTTCAGTTGGGGGCGGGGGGTGAAGAAAGAAAAGAGAAAAAACTCACAGTTACTGGGATCTGAGAAACAGCCAAAGAGGCCGGTCGACCAGGGAAGGCGGCCCGCCGCCTTAGGCGCAATATGAGAGCCGTCGGAACTGTAGAATTGGGACGCCGACGAGGAGGAGTCAACCGGGTAGCCGGTCGTCGCCTTCTCACCGTAGTAAGAGGGTGCTTGCACTGGGGATGGTGCGAATTTTTGGTAATCAGAGCCTGAAGAATTCATTCTCCAAAGGTGAAATCGCTCACCCCGGGCGCCCCTCACCCCCGACCCGACGGGAATGTGAGAGGAGGTAAATCACGGTGACCCAAGCACAACACTTAGCTAGACCTGAAGAATCACGAGCCTGAAGAATTCATGACGCAGTACGTGGTGGATGGGTTTTGGGTCAGCTGCGTTTTGAACCAATGATTTGGCCGGACAAAGATATATGAATGGGAGATATAGCGAGATAGGCCTTTATAGATTACTGGTATATCTGTGTCTGACTTGGTCAGCACCATTGTGCTTAATGCTTAGTGTTGACTCCGCATTGCAGACGCGTTTTGATAATCAAATATGGCAACTCAAGTTTGTCATAGGTGGCAATTAGGTCAATCGGATCGGTTTCGATTGGATTTTTTTGTTTGGATATATCTTTCGGATATATGTGAAATAGATTTTGCCTCACAATAAACATATTATGTTTATGTTAGACCTGGCAAAACTAACCCGGACCCGATAACCCGAACCGAATAACCCGGAACCGAACCCGATTTGACCCGAAAACTGAAGAACCGAAATAGAACCGAACACCCGAAATGATCCGAACCGAACCCGAACCGAATGTATTCAGACCCGATTCAGATCCGAATACGATTAAACCCGAACCGATTAAACCCGAACCCGGTTAAACCCGGAACCGATTAGACCCGAAATTGATCAAATTCATTAATATTTCATTTATCAAATGAATTTGGAGAAAACGAATTACCTATATATTTTTACATATGTTGATGTGTTTCTAAAAAAACATATTTAAATTATGGGTGCAAACCATGTAACTACATTCATGTACAAATCTTTTACTTTGCATTTAATTACTTAAGTTAAAATACTTTTGAATTTTTATAGTATAGTTAACTAAATTAACTAAATTTATTATGTCATTTATTCATTTATTAGTATGCATGTGTTTACATTATACTTGAACTAATATAAATTTAAACCGATATAAACTCAAATCTATATAAACCCAAATCAATACAACCCGAATTGATACAAACTTGAACCGATATAACCCGAACCGATATAAACCCGAACCGATATAAACCCGAACCGATATAAACCGAACCGATATAAACCCGAACCGATACAAACCCGAACTGATACAAACCCGAACCGAAACCGAACCGAAACCGAAAACCAATCAAACCGAAATAAACCGGAACCGAACTGACCCGAACCGAACCAATCCGAACCGATTATAACATATATTCGAAAGAGACCCGAACCGAAAAGACCCGAACCGGAACCGAACCGATTGACCTGATTGCCAGGTCTAGTTTATGTACATCGTGAACAATTACATTTGACATGTATGTATATAGAGTATGTGTTTATTATCCTATCACGGATCTCCATAAGCCCAGGGTCAGTAACCTCCTGCTTCCTCCCCGGTGTTTAACCTATCAACCAAGAGTCCTCCCGTCTGAGCTGAGTAGTCGTCTTTGATGATGGAGTAGCGACATCTACAGGTGGTCTGGGAAAGCTCCACCTCGCACTCAAGCTTGGAATATCCACCCTGGCCCATAGAGTGCTGATAAGGATTCTTTTTCTGTCGCTACCTATTCGTCTCACTAAGGGCCTAAAAATAATTGTTAAAATCTCTCGTTTAAAATAACTTCAATTGTTGATTAATTTATTTCAAAGAATAACATTTTATTTTACTTTATGTATCACCTCAACTCGCATAACCCGAATACTCAAATTAGTGAACCGGGTTGCTACTAAATTGGTACCCAAACACGACTTAAATTTCAAAACAATCCAAATAATACTTCAAAACATAGTTAACATTCATCGGAGTAATAATCAAAACAGGTACGAAAGCTTAATTCCTAATTCAAAACACAACTTAGGAATCATGCCCGTAAAAGTAATAAGTTAATTTAAATAATACTCCGTAAATAATAACTCAAAATTATCAAGAACTGCCACGCACATCTCCGCATCCTCATCTCCCTCCAGGATTGGCTTCAAGTTCCTCATTTCCTGGATTACCTACGTGCAGCAAAGGAACAAATGCTACACGCTCATCATTGAAGCTAAGTGATAAATATCTGAAATACAGCCATACCCATAGATGATCTCACTAGCCCATATAATCGTACGATATCATGCACATAAACGTACATAGCAGTAACATAACAGTACACAAGATATAACATGCATAACAACATCATAACAGTTCACAAGATAAAATCAACAATGATACCAGAATTAAGTATTTTCCTTTTTAGTTTACTTTACTTCCTTTGATGTACTTGGCCCTTAACCTATGCTAGCTTAAAGCTTAACGTATTTTGACTTGCCTATGGTAGTCATGACCTTCCCCTTTGGAACGGAGTTCAAGCTCAAAACCAACTCAGGAGTTCCTCGTTATGTTGGTGAGATCCCTATCCCCCTTCGGAACGACAATTCATAGATCCTCATGCGCACGTTTTTACTTGGAGAGCCGTTGGACCCATCAAATACCACATGACTCTACATACTAAACTTATGGCATACCATGCACTTAATCCATTCAAGTTAGTCCATAAAGTTCTTCTATGTGATTTGTTGAATATTCATTATCAATTCGTGATACGACATTCATACATCATCTAAGCATCAACAACATAACCAATATTCTCAAACAGCGGCCTAACACTGAGTGTTGACACCCATGTTTACCTTCATGCAACATACAAAGTCTCGAAATTGATCCTTGACAATGATACAAATTTCTGGCCGGTTTAGGTACCTCACAGTACCCTTAACGATATGGGGTACTGACCCCATGGTACTAGGGTACTGCCCCACGATACATGGTAACATACAAAGTCTCGAAATCGATCCTTGACAAAAATACAAAATTCTGACCGATTTAGGTACCTCACAGTACCCTTAACGGTATGGGGTACTGACCCCACGGTACCAGGGTACCGTCCCACGATACGTGGCTACTGTCCGTAGCAACAACTGTTCTCATCTGGTAGACCTGTCACGGTAGCCTCTACCGACTCAGCGGTAGGGCCTACTGTCCGTCCAGTATGTAGGTACCATTTGGCCACAGGTACCGGTAGAGAGAAGGGAAAATAGAGACGGTGGTGGTAGCTTGGTACCGTGCCAGCGGTACCGCCCTACCATCAGTCACGGCGAAACTTAATACCACACCAGCTCTGTTTTTCAACATGAAACACAACATGACAGGCATCAATAGGTTCTATATTCATATTCAACATTATCTAACATGCCCATAAACGTATCTAGTCCAATTCATCCTTTCAAAATCACCAACAACGTAAACGAGACATAACTCACGTAGGGTTCACATAATTCAACGGTAATGACTTTACGAACGTAAGATTCAAACCAATGAATATAACTACATGTTAGATGTGTAACGCTCCAAAATATACCCTAAAATTTAATGAATAAATTATTCGATTAATCAAATTTGTTTTGATTAAAATAAATTGTTGTTGGGCTTTGGGCCGAAGTGAAAAGTGTTTTAATATCCAATTTCATAATCTAGATTAGTCTCATAGAGATAAATTCAATATGTTGACTTATTATGTGATCTTAATTGGGAACCTGAGTACAGACCCAAATTAAGAATAAATGAAGAATTGTCTGTAATGTGAACTTTGAAATGATTTATTAAAATAAATCATGAAAATAAGTTATATGAATTAAATGTAAGAACCTTTTTGAATAAAGGTCAATTAGAACAACTTTGACTCTGTCAAAGACAAACACCCAAAAATATGATGTCGGAAAAAGTATTACAAATAATTATAAAAAGGGAGAAATACGAAAATAGCACTTTAATAGCCTTATAATACTCAAAATAGCAGTGCTATTAGTTTTTGGGATGAATTCCCGTTTTTGTCCTTAAATAAACTCTCAAAATCAGAATTATACTGCAGTGTATACTCTTCACTGCCACATTATAAATAAGTATAAAATTCTCTGTTCTTCACTGCCACAATATGTTTGAGATTGAATTTAGTGCCCTAACACATACAGCACTGCCAAAAAAAAAAGAGCAGAATTCATTTTAAGCCGTGACCTTTTATTTTTTATGGTAATTATACATTGCAATATATACTCTCTACACTGCCACAATATGTACTTCCAAAAATTCTATGTCTGAAATACACTGCCACAATATATACACTGCCAAAAATTCAATGTCTGAAATACACTGCCACAATATATACACTGTCTGAATAAAAGGATGCAAGACATAATTTTAACATTTATTTTTCACACTGCCCACACCATAACACCTAATCTTCACACTACCAAAATCACAATGCCTTTCAAAAGACCTAATTTTTCAAAAGGGACAAATACTTGGTATTTCAAAATTGATTTCACAACATACACCTAATCTTCAATACGAAGAAAACACAATAATTAATACTAAAAATACAGGGGAACGGAAGGAGAGATTGGAGTTGAATGCCGTAATTTTTAATGAAAAAAAAAAACAGAAAAAGGGGTAAAGGGTATGATAGGAAAGGATTGACATCATAAACTGCTAAGTTTGTTAAAAACAATGAGTAGTGCTAAATGTGTAATTTAGGGTGAGTTAGAGTGCTATGTAGGGTGATTTCTTTTATAAAAATTATATCGTTGGATAGAGTTTAACTGTTCGATCGAAACGGTGCAATCGGATTTCGATTCGGAGAAAGTTGGACCAAAAAGTGTTCCCTGACTGGGACCAGATTAATCCTAATCAGGGACTTACGTTTAAAATCTGTAGGAGCCGCAGCCCCCTCCACTGAGACACCGAAACAGGAACGGATACATCATCACGTTGGCCTCTTCCTCCATTCCTTCCCTATATAAAGAACCCAACTTCACCATTTCTTTACCATTCATCTTCAAATTTGTTCTGAAAGATAGCCTTGAGTGTGGAGAATGCAGTGGTGTTGTTAGTTTGGTGTGATGTCGCCGGAGCTAGACACAATCCTCGCTAGAAGTTTTGCTGGAAAATTTCCAAAACCTCCATTAAGCTTCGAGGTAAGCCCGTAGATATATCTAATGACTAGAATGTTTATATAGGTCGTTTCTACGTTCATAAATGGTCATTTGGTTGAGTTTTGTGTTTGACATGTTTCAAGAACTAAGAATCATAAACCTTGAATTTGATGTTAAAAACATGATTTAATGATTCTAAAATGA